ACGCATTCATCTCTCTCTGCTCTTGACTGTGGGTTAGAATGACTAGCTGTTAGTTCTTGCCTTGACTTCCTGACAATGATAAACTGTCCATGGAACTGTAGGCTGAAATAAGCCCTTCCTTTCTAAAGGTGCTTTTTATTGGGGTATTTTATCACAGCAACAGAAACCAGAACACTGGGTAAGGTCACATGTTTTGTTTGGAACAAAGAAATGCGAATTGACAGGTGGCCGTTTCTAGGACGTGGACTTCAAGAGCTCATGGGATGTTTGTCACCTTCTCTTCCCACATCTGAGTCTTGGATTCATTTCAAAGGATGGAGACTTCATGAACTGTACCCCCAAGGCAGGACTCTGTAGGACAGAGACTTCTGTGACCAGAAATAGTCACAAATGGTGCCCTGATTAGTTTTAGTTGTTAACTTGACACAGCCTAGAGTCTTCTGAAAGGAAAGGCTTGATTGAGGACTTGTCTAGACCATTTGGGCCTGTGAGCATATCTGTGGGGGACTGTCATGATTGATAACTGTTATAGGAGGGCCCAGCCCATTATGGGTAACACCATCCCTAGGCAGGTAGTACTGGGCTTTGTAGAAGGCTAGCTGAACATGAGCTTGAGTGAGTCAGCAAGCAGCATCCTCCGTGGCTCATGCTGTACTTCCCTGGCTGGGAGCAAGTTCCCCGGTCAGAGGTAAAGCTGTATGCAATAGCAAGCAGTCCTCCCTGCAGGTTCCTGCCTTGAGTTCCAGCCCTGACTTCCCTCAGTGATGGGCTGTGACCTGGAAGTGGATGATGACCTAACCCTTTTCCTCCCTTAAGTTGCTTTTTGTAAATTTTATTATTTTTATTTTATGTGTATGAGTGTATTGTCTACATCTGTGTAAGTGTACCTGTGTCATGTAATGCCCATGGAGGTCCATGGAACTGGAGTTATGGACTGTTGGTAGCTGCCACATGTGTGCTGGGAATCGAACCTGGGTCCTCTGTGGTAACAAAGATTGCTAAAGTCACAGTGTCTTCAGACAATAAATTCCCATATCATTGAGCCATCTCTCCAGCCTCACTTAAGTTGCTTTTTGTCAAAGTGTTTCATCACAACAACAGAAAGAAACTAGAACAGACAGCAGGATATGAGAATTTATTGTCTGAAGACACTCCTTATTACTACAGCACTCATAGTCCATCCTAAGTGATACTGAAGTAGGAATCTTGTGTGAGGTGTGTGTGTGTGTGTGTGTGTGTGTGTGTGTGTGTGTGTGATGCATGTGCATGTGGAGGTCAGAGATCAATATCAACTGTCTTCCTCAACTGCTCTCTGCCTTATGACCTTATGTTTTGGGATAGAGTCTCTCACTGAACCCAGAGGTCATTGATTCAGGTAGACTCGTTGGCCAGTGAGCTCCAGGGATCCACCTGTCTCTACCCCCCTCAGGGATGGGTTGCAGATGCATGCCACCATGCCTAGCTTGGACTTGGGTGCTGGGGATCTGAACTCGGGTCCTCATGCTTGTGCAGCAGGAACTTTTCTTACCGAACCCCAGGCCCTGAACTAGGAATGTCGAATGAGGTGCTGGCTCACAAAGTACTGTGCAGGAAGGAGACTGAGATCAGGGGCTGGGGGGGTGGTGGTCCATGTTGTGGAGTGGGGAATGCCTGGCAGACTGTCACCTGTGGTCACTGGCAATCAGGTCACTTCCCCAATGAACATAATACGTAGGCTAGAACACAGGGTACAATTGAGGCATGCAGGCTGTGGTGGCTATATGTGGCAAGGTTTTCCAAGTATAAAATCAACTTAGGAAAGAGTCGGACAGGTTGAAAATAGGGAAGAAATGTGTGGGAGGGAAGTCTACAGATTCAAGCTGTAAGATGTTTAGAAGCAGCAGCCACTGGGCTCGGCTTCCAACACCAACAGAATCAATAAAATCTTAGAGCAATAAAAATCAAAACCCAGTCTGTGGATTGGCAAGGGTCGAATGAAGGTGTGGTATGGTCATGATCTCCATCGTTAACCTCTGAATGGATTAAGGTGTCTCAACTAAAGGCCCAGCGAAGCTGTGGTAGATTGGCAAGGGTCGAATGAAAGTGTGATATGGTCATGATCTCCATCGTTAAGAACCTCTGAATGGATTAAGGTGTCTCAACTAAAGGCCCAGCGAAGCTGTGGTCCTCAACTGTGCTGGATATCTTGGGAGAAAATAAAAAAGGGTAAAAGCGGTGTGATTCTCCCCCTTCGTGTCAAGTTAAAAAGAGGGAATGCAGTCAGGAGAAGGAGAGACTCTGAAAGGGGAAATAAACAACCAAAAACCATCTGCCAGGACTCAAGGAAGATGAGAGCGTCTAGTCTTTATGTCACATGACCTTTGGAGTCCCCAAAATTGAGAAAGATGCTCACCCCTCAAAGAAGGCTGACTCCTCACCTCAGACACAGGGAAGGGAAATATTAGTGACATCTTTTTGAGAGGACACAACTAGCTCCACAAAGGACAGTGGGCAGGGGAGGTCCTCCCGGAGAACGGAGCTGGGTGTCTCAGGGAGAATCCTCTGTGTCTAGGGAGGGAAAATCATGTTTGCCTCATCCCTGTGCTTTCTTTGTGTGCTGGATGTGGCAAATCAGCTCTTCCCTCCTTAGCTCTGGATCCAGACCTGATGCACAGACCACCCTGGTGTCAACTGAAGTTCCTGACTTTGAGCTTGATGTCCTGCCTGAATGGAAATTTCTTAAGAAGAGGGGCAGTTGTGTCTGTAAGAAGGAAAGTGAGGGACTGGGGAGGTAGCTCATTTAGTGATGTGCTTGCCTTGCAATCATGAGGGCCTGAGTTCAATTCCCGGAACCTACAAAAATAAAAAATAAAAAATCTGGGCATGGTGATGTGTGCTCCAGAGCTGGGGAGATGGAGATGGGCATTCCTGGGCTCTCTGGCCGGCCAGGCTAGCTGAATTGATGAGAAACTCTATCAAAAAATGAAGGGGGGTGGCTGGAGAGATGACTCAGTGGTTAAGAGTACTGGCTGCTCTTGCAAAGGAGCCAGGTTTGATTCCCAGTACCCACATGGTGGCTAACAATGGCCAATAAACTCCAGTTTCAGGAGATCCAACATCCTTTTCTGACCTCCACGGGCATTACATGATATGGGTGCACTTACACACATGCAGGCAATACACTCATACACATACCATAAAAAATAATAAAGAAAATACTAAAAAAAGTTTAAAATAAACACACACAAGCATAAACAAACAAAAATATACACAATAATAAAAAACCATTTATGATGTAGAGAACTGAATCCTAGTTTTCTCCTAAATAGTTATCATATTAAACTGACCCCTGATGACTTATTGTTATATCCATAGATTAATGCATCTCACAACTGTCACCAGAGATGTTTCTTTATTCATTACATGTGAGGATCATTGATTCCATGGCCCAGCCTAGTCCAATCTGTCTGCTATGTGACCTTTCCTTAAGACAAAATGCTAGGAACATATGACTTCACATGTCACCTCCCTAGGATACTTGCAATTGAGAGGCTGTACCTAGAGGGGTCAAAAGGGGTTACCTGTGGCTCCAGACGACCACGTGAGGCTATCGGTGGAAGAAAAAGGAAGCCAGAAGCTAACGCCCAAATTCGGTCCTCAAGTGTGTGTGAGACTCTGTTCAAAGACCTTGTCATTTTCTATGGGCAGATGGAACTGGTTAGAGAAGGCTGTGCCCTTGCACTGTGTTTTCAAACAGCCTCTAACAAGTGTCATGTGTCAAGTGTCAGAAGAGGGCATCAGATGCCCTGGAACTGGAGTTACAGATGGTTGTTAGCCACCATATGGGCGCTGGGAATCGAACCTGGGTCCTCTGCAAGATCTCTCCAGGTCCATGCCTACCTAGTCTTTTTAACTTGGGTTCTGGATATTCGAACTCAGGTCCTTATGCTTGCAAAGCAAGCACTTTACTGCCTGAACTAGCTCCCCAGGCCCTAGGTCTGCAACTTCTGTGGGTTGAATTCTGGCACTAGATGCTCATTATTAAGAGGAAGTCTGCTCTCTTTAATGAGTTGTAATCATTGAATCCGGACTATATGATTAATCTTAGAAAAATATAGTCCTGCCACCTGCCGTTTGAAATTCCTGGCAAGTTCTAAGCAAAACTCTCTGGGGATCAATGGTAATAGGAAATGAATGATGCTTTTATAGTACACAATGGACATTTTCTGATCAAATGCATGCAAATCAAGTTGGCTGTGCAGCTGCCCGGGGCTGCCTTAGAGAGCCAGGGACAAAATGATAAAGGCCAAGTTCTGTGACTGTCTTGCACTTCCTTGGTAATCAAATCCAGGTTTAGGCTTCCAAATGCTGCACATAAAAGACCTTCTAGGCTACACTGGAAGCAAGAACTGCAGCAAGTTATAGTATCTTATAACCCGAAGACTCTTGTTTGAATAAGGAGACTGGGCAAGTCACCTGAGCCCAGACAAAATCTTCCTCTCTTTTTTACTTTCTTGCTCATTCATTCTTAATATAAAAAGTATGTTCTGGGGCTGGAGAGATGGCTCAGTGGTTAAGAGCTCTGACTGCTCTTGCAGAGGACCTGGGTTCGATTCCCAGCACCCACATGGTGGCTGTGAACCATTCTTAACTCCAGCTCCAGGTGATCCAAAGCCCTCTTCTGACCTCCGCAGCATTGCACAACACGGGCGCACTCACATACATGGAGGCAATATACTCATACACATAAAATAAAATAAAAAAATTTTAAAAAAGGTATGTTCTAAGCTGGTTTTGATTTTATTTTGAGGTGTGTGTGTGTGTGTGTGTGTGTATGCGTGTGTGTGAGTGTGTGTGTGTGCCATGGTGCATGTGCTTGTGAAGGATAGAGGATAACCTCAGGTGTCAGTCCTTCCTTACCTTCCATTTTGTTTTGAAACAAGGTCTCTGCTTCATTGCTTTGTAGACCAGGATAGCAGGCTTGCGAGTTTGTGGACATTCTCTTGCCTCTGCCTTCCATTGCTTGGCAGGGGCATGCTGGGATTATTGCTTCCAGCCTGTTAAAATTTTAAATTAATTAATTATTATTGTGTGAGCATGTTGTGTTTATGTGTGGGCACCCATGCCTAGTCTTGGATGTAGAAGTCAGAGAGCAACTTTATGGAGTCTGTCTCTCCTCCTACCTTTACATGGGTTCCGTACCAAGTGTTTTACCCACTGAGTCATCTCTCCAACCTTTAAGTGGATGGTTTTAAAAGACAAATACTCAGCATTTCATTTAATTGTTTGCCTTGCACCTCCATCAGTAAAGTTCTCCTCACCTTGACAAACCAAAATGTGCTGATCAGCCCAAGTACGTGTCTCAGGAGTTTGGTGCTGTTTGTCTCTCAGGGTTACCAAGCAAAGCTACTGTTCATTTGTCACGGCGTAATACGTCATGTTAATTTTGGAGTTAATAATCTTGAAAAAGAAGTCTCTTCAAACTAGACCAGCAGTAAAAAAAAAAAAAAAAAAAAAAAAAAAAAGCCACAGAGACTGCTCCTGCTAATTAAAAAAATGCATATTTTAAATAATAAAGTGATAGGAAAGACTTTAGATGTCTCATCATTATTTTGAAAGCCTTGGAAACTGAGGTCTACAGGACTGAGAGACTCAGCCCTGAGTTTAAAGCATTCTGTTTTGATAGGAACAGGACTTTGTAGTTGAAAGCTTTGGGATTCAAAGCAGGTTGTATCAGAGGCTAATGGGAAGCTTGCTGACTGTTGATTTTATTATTATTTTCCTCCTAACAAAAAACTCACCATATTTAAATGCAAATGACTGAAGATGGGTACAGGCAACTAGGAAGCTTTAGTCAGGACAGATTTCTGTTTTTCAGCATGGAAAGGTTTCATGACTGAAGTCCCCTTTTTGGTTTTTGATTTGGTGAATGGAGCTTGCTGGAGCCCTCAGAGCAATTCCTACGACCATTAGCAAACAGAGCTAAAATTAATGTGAGGGAAGGCATAGTATGCAGTCAGGAGGCAGGCACAGGAGGATCTCTGTGAGTTCAAGGCTAGCCTGGTCTATTCAGAGAGCTCCAGGCCAGCCAGGGCTACATAGTGAGACCCTGTCTTAAAACAAATAAGCAAAAAAGATTAACGTTAGTAAAGAAAATAAGGCCCCAATGTGGCCGCAGTGGTGATTCTCAGATCTGTATATCTGTAAGAACCCTTGAGAGCCTAAACAAAATCCATGATGTGAACTAAAGTTCCTGGAAATAAAAAGGTCACACCCTTTTAAACATTCTACAAGGCTGATTGATGACTGAGAGCTGCAATATTATAGGTTGGGAGCCAAATTTATTTAGGGCTATCTTTGGCCCCTAAATAACCATATATTGCCCACCGCTGTGTGTGACCTAACATCCTTGGTGAGTAAATCCTTTTTGAAATGTACAAATAGACCTTTAGCTTCCACCAATAGGAAAACCAAGAATGCCATCAGATAGCATCTAAGGCCTAGAACAGAGTTTTCCCCACTTTGCTATAACACACTCTCTGTTAGCTTTTGCTGTGGGTCTGTAGAAAGAAGCCAACACAAGATGATCCTTCAGAAGAACTTTACTATGAGATACAGATGTATGTCATCAGCAGCCACAATGAGGTCCTGAAGTGGAAGGGTGTTAGGAGAGTGAGGGCTCTGTATTATAAACAGGGCAGCAGGATTTTGAAGGGAGAGAGAGTGGTCAGATGTCAGAGAGTTAGATGGTCTGTGATCTAATATCTTTCTGATATTTACACCAATATATGTTTTAAAGGGTCTCCCTGTAGCCCCAGCTGGCCTGGAATTTGCTATGTCAACCATGCTGGCCTCGATCTCACAGAGATCCACCTGCCTCTGCCTCCTGAGTACTGGGATTAAAGGTGTGCATCACCATGCCATGCATAATACCAATACATTTCTTAAAATGCCTTGATTTATAACTCTGTTTGGTAATTATTAAAAGCTTCATGAAGCTGTTACCATGTTGGACTATGGTATAGGGTAAACAAAATCTATATTCCTGGGTTATGGTCACTCAGATTTGGCTCCAGAATAAATTATCTCCTATTCCCTTGAAAATGAGAACACGTGTGGGGTTGGTTTTTTGTTTTGTTTTTGTGTTTTTTTTTTTTTTGTATTGACAATTTTTTGTTTAGTTTTTGTTTTTTTGAGACTGGATCTCCCTGTAACCCAGCTGGCCTGGAACTCACTATGTAGACCAGGCTAACCATGATCTCACAAAATTCTACCTGTCTCTGCCTCTGCAGTACTGAGATTGAAGGTATGAGCTACCATGCCTGACTCAATGATTATCAATGATTATTTTAAGATTTGTTTTTACTTATGTGTATGCATGTGTAGGTACACACATGTGTGCAGGTTTCCATGGAGGCCAGAAGAGGGTGTCAGGTCCCTTGAAGTTGGAGTTAGAGGTGATTGTGAGCCACTTGACATGGGTGCTGGGAATTAAACTCCAGTCTTCAGTGCTCTTATCCACTAAGCCATCTCTCTAGACCTTGCATTGATAATTATGATCCATCAGAAATAATTATTCAAACATTTTGAGCTTGAACTTGAGAGACATCTCCTTTATCCTGCCTCAATTTGGAAACCACTGCTGGGAAGCTTCTTTCTATGGGAATCACATCTGCCCTCCGCTTTTCTCAGTCTACCAGATTCAGATACAGTAGGGGGTTACAGAACAGGTATTGGGCATGAATGCTGGTCTAGTCCTTGCTATACTGTAGACTATGTTTCCTTATGTTTTAATACAACCTTAATAAAACTCATTAAAAATCTAATAAGATTGCTTATAAAATGCTTAGTACTACAACTAGTAAATAATAAACTAGAACTGATAAAGTACTAGCTAGTACTAATAAAGTACTAGAACTAGTAAACGATAAACATTTGATAATTGAGCATTACTATTATTTTTAAAAGCATTCAATCATTCTTACTTTATGTATATGAGTGTATTACCTGTATATGTTCAAGTTCACCCATATTGTGCAATGTCTGTGGAGGTCAGAAGAGGGAACTGACCCCTGGAACTGGAATTATGGTTGGTTGTTATCTGCCATGTGGGTGCTGGGAACAGAACCTGGGTCCTCTGTAATAGCAGCCATTGTTCGTAACTGCTGAGCCATCTCTCCAGGCTGAGTATTATTATTTTTTATGACCTTAATAACAACAATGATAATAAGTGGCCACATTTGTGTATATAAACTACACTTGAAATACACTATTCATGGGTTGGGATAAAATAATCAAATTGGACTGTGCTGAAAAACTGCATTCTATGAAAGACTTTTGTTTATAGTCCTGATGGAAAAACAGAAAACTGAGCCACCCTTCTGCTTTTAAGGACTAGAACATTGGACATGATATAGAAAACAACAGTTTTGAGATGTTGCACAGCAGACGGATTGGCTCTGTGATCCTTGAGAAAAGAAACAAACACAGGTGCATATGAACACTCTGACTTTCTGCCCAGCAGCGAGCTACAGGCTGCAGAGGAACAGACAGAACTGAAGGACAGATTCTGGGACTCACTAGAGATGGGAATCTGAGTCCAGGTAGCTGGGGACTGAGTTCTGGGGAGGATGGAGCTGCATTGTTTTTATTTTTGAGACAGAGTCTCAAGTAGCCTAGGCTGGCCTCAGACTCTCTATGTAGCCAAGGATGACCTTGAACTTCTAGCCTCTTGCCTTCATATCCTATGTGCTGGGATTATAGGCATGCGCCACCTTACCTGGTTTATGCGATGCTGGGGATGGAACTCAGGACTTTGCACATGGAGGGCAAGCCCTCTGCCAACTGAGCCACATCCCCAGCCCTTTCGGAGATCGGAGTTTTATAGGAAAATTACTCCACAATTTTGCACCAGCCCACCCTAGAGTTTGCTGAAAACAGAGATGTTTGTGTAACATGCAGCCCCATGAGGCAACAAAGGCCACTGTGAGCAGTGTGCTGAGTGACTTTCAGGGTCCCTATGGTTTGGAGATGCTTGATTCCAAGCAGAGTGACCACTGGAATTCTCTAATCTCTGGGCATTTGGGGAAGACTCTAGAGAGGCCATACCTAGGGTTCTGTAGGAAAGGCTACTCCAGAGTCATTGTAACAAGACTTAAAAACAAACCTGGAAGGATGAAAATAGCTGCTATGCTAAGAACGCCCCCCCCGGCCCCGCCTACTCTCTGGAGTATAGAGTCCAGCGTTCTCCACGTGTGCAATGCCTAACGGCTAATGAAAAATTACTAGACAAGGCAGAAAGAAGGGCTCAGTGGGTGAAGATATCTGCTGCCAAGGCTGACGGCCTGAGTCTGACCCCGAGAAACCACGTGATGGAAGGAGAGCGCTGACTCCTGCAATTTGTCCTCTGGCTTCTACATACATGATGTAGCAGACACATATGTATGGACTCACATGCATACTCACACACAACATAGTAAATAAATGTAAAAAGCAATCGGGCTAAGAAGTGGAAATCATGACCCATAACCTGAGGAAAATAAATGATCAGTCAGAACAGGGTCAGAAATAATAGAGATGTTGGAATTAACAGAGGAAGAACTTTAAATTTTTATCCTGAGGAGGCTGGGCATGGTGGGACATATCTTTAGTCCCAGCACTTGGGAGGCAGGGGCAGGAGGATCTTTGTGAGTTTGAGGTAAGCCTGGTCTACATAGGGAGTTCCAAGCTAGGCAGGCTACATAGTGAGCTCATTCCTCTAAGTAAATAAATAAACAAACAGTTTATTTTAAGGGATAGGGCTGTAGCTCAGTGGTAGAGTACTTGCTTAGCATGCTTGGGGTCCTAGGTTCAATCACCAGTACCAAAAAAAGGAACTATTTTCAAATATTTAAAGAAAAATGTGAATGTGATGAGGAAAGAAAGAAAGGATATACAAAGAGCTGATGGAATTGCAACACCTGGAAGAGAAAGCTCATCGACTGTGAATAAATGCTGAAAAACAACCAAATTAAAGTTTGCAGAGTTAAAGATATAGCTATAGAATTGATCTAACACA